GTATGTTTGTAAGCGTGTTTTGTTGCTAGTGTTACAACTGAATACATTGTTCTCAAAGCTGGAGAAAACATTTCCAGAGTATTGATGTGGGGTTTTTGATATCCAATGCTGTGCATTGCTCTTAGATGACCTTGAAAAGAGGAAACGTCTACGGCAGAAGAAAGCTCGTGATGAACGACGACGTGAACGCAGAATTGAGATAGAAGAAAACAAGAAGCAGGGCAAATGTAAGTGTGATTGAGCATAACTGGTGGATTTCCAGTCATGTTTAGTTGCTGAGCTGCTTTCTTGAGCTATAGGATGAACTCTAAGGCCTTTAGTTTGTAGTGTGTACTTAGAAGAAGATTACAAGGTTTTAGAAACAATGTCTGTAGAGTGAAAAATATAAGCTGTTTTAGTCAGAATGTTAAGTGATGTTATGCAATTGCTGCACACTTGCACGGTATGGGAGAGACAGGGCATTCAAGGGCACAGCTATCTCCATGTTGTGTGTAGCTCTCAGGATTCTTAGTTTCTGTTTTTATAGTAATTGCGATACAGAGTGAAAAGTGAAGAAGGAAAAAAAATGCCTGGGAACTGCTTCCCTCCAGCAGCAGGGCTTGTACTGGTCTCCAAAATAGAGGGTAGAAAGAAAATTGAGTTGGCACCTCCTAGACTCCTGAAACAACTTGCATATTGACAGTCCTCCCCCACATTGTGTAGTGCTTTAATTTAAAACCTCTTTCTAGATCCAGAGGTCCATATTGCTTTAGAGAATCTGCAGCAGTTCCCTGCTTTTACCTCTTGCCCCGGAGAAACTACCAGCATTGATCATCAGAGCTTCTGTCTATCTCCTCTTGGCAGAAGCCCTGTGTTTCAGACAGGTGAGCATCTGGAAAAACACATCACATCTAGGTCTTTATGGTTCTTTTGGGATCTACTGCTCAGGTCATCACCCTAAACTTTCTTAATACTGATCAAAGACTGCTTCTTTCCTACATTGCCTATGAGATCATACACAAAAGGCTGACACGGCTAAGAACCATTCTGATCCTTTGTCTGTTTTTTACTACCTCTACTTCAGTGACAATATGAGATCAGCACTGTAGTCACACCATCTTTTAAATCCTTGCTGAGGCAGAAGAAAGGAAAAAAAAGAAAAACCTCAAAAAAGGAAGAAAAGTGTGTATGCCAGGAAAACACTACTGGCATCTTTTCTTTCCATCTTCCCCACCACATTATACTAAAATGAAACATAGTTGTTGAGCACTCAGGTTGTTGTCCAAGTGATGCTTTACCAAATGTTTTATCTTGCAGTTCATAAAAAATATTAAATACAAACTATTCTTAAATGTTTTTCTCAAAAAAAACCTCAAAACAAAAAAACCTACACACCACCACCAAAGGAGGAAACAAAAACCCCAAAACAAAACAAAAACCCAGCCACCAAACTTAAATCTCCCTTAAATAAAAAGATTGAGGAAATCTGAGAGATCCCACTGTGTGATTGATGGATGGAACTGATGAGATAAAAATGGTTAATTACATGAGATAATAAAATTTTATTTCTGTTTCATCCTGCTAAGCAGCATAATGAGTGCCTTTGCTAAATGCAACTGGCTTTAATTATCTGCTGCTTTCTCTGTAGAGTCTATTCCAACTCCACTGTCACCTGCTGCCAGCCAGGTCAGCCCATTGCTCTGTGGGAGTTTAGAAGAAGAGTCTCCCTTCCCTTCCTTTGCCCAGGTAAGCCATGTCGTAGAGTAAATCTTGTCGGAATTACTTGCGTCTTAGTTGGGGATTATTCTGAGAACACAATTGCTTCCCCCACAAAAGCAAGGTGGGATAAATCTTATGGAGACAACATAGGGTTTGAGTGCTTGAAGGAGTTCCTAGATTTTCTTGCCACTTAGGGGATATGCAAGGTTGTTCTAGTACATAGGACTTAATCATATCTTACAACTTTTTTGATAGATGTTGAGGGTTGGAAAGGCAAAACCAGAAACATGGCCCAAACCTGCTCCAAAGACAAGAGGTAAGAAAATTTGTTATTACTACTTCAGGTTCTTTACTGTGCATCTAAATCTAGGAAATCTTGTAACTTTACAAGAAACATCTGGAGTGGCATTTGCACTGCAAAAAGTTCTATACAGCCTTCTGCCTCTCAAGGCTCTTTCCTTCTTTCAGATGAGAATACTCTGGCACTCCCTGTGCCAGTGGATAGTGATGGAGAAAGTGACAGCTCTGACCGCATACCTGTGCCCAGCTTCCAGAATTCCTTCAGCCAAGCTATTGAGGCAGCCCTCCTGAAACTGGACAAACCGTCCACAGCTGATCATTTAGCAGGTAAAAGGCGGGGGGAAGGCATGAAAAACTTACGAAGTGAAAAAATTGAGTATTTCCCCTTCTTCCTCTGGGAGAAGTGAGAGCAGCAATTTTGGGGACCAAAAATTGGCCACAGAACAGTTCGGAAAATTGTCAGATTGTGGTTTCTGAACAGCTTGACTAGGGCTCCTGTTAGCTTAAAGCAGCTCTCTTAGTGGGAGCTGAGAAGATCTGCAACTAGCAAAGAGTCCCGTTAGGACAAAGATGGCTTTTGGTAATCATGTTTCTACTGGAACTTAATTAAGCTTTATCTCAAGGAAGTTCAGGCTGTGCACTCTTAAACTAAAAATACCCGAGCTGCCGAACTACCACTTTGATCAAAGTGTCAAGTTAACTGCTAGCTGAAATTTCAAATACTGAGATGAACTTAAACCTCCAAGCCTGGTGCTGGCTGATAAAACTCATTTGTGCTGCTTGGTTCTGATGTTTAGCTTTGGCTTCTGTTTGGAGACTGCACTGAATGATTGAGAGAGTTGGATGGGAGGGCCTGGGAGTTTCAGTGAAATTGGTTGTTGGCTGCAGTTGAGTGTTTTTTGGACATGGATGGAAGTGATACTTTGAAAACAGACTGCTGCACTCATGCAGTCCTAGGATCTGCTGCCGCACCAGCAACTTCAGAATTGGTTAGGCATGTTTATAGGTGTGTTTTAGGTGTGATGGAGTCTCCTTTAGTTTGTCTGCGCTAATTTTTTTATTGAAGTGGTGCTCAGGGAGTTGATAGGAAGTGTCATGGCCCTGTAGAAGTCATTCAGGCTAGGGAAGACCATTTATCATTTCTGTGTGATGTTCCTGTTCCATGAGAAGAATGACAGTGTCATTTTAATTCTTCACAGAGGAAAAGGGAGGCAAGAAAAGAAAGAAACTGAAGCAGAAGCTATTGTTCAGCACCTCTGTTGTTCACACAAAGTGATTCTGCTATTCAAGAGAAGTTTCATCGCCTGGTTTTCTTTTAATTTTGCTTTATTTTGCTGCTATAGTTTAAGTATTTAAATTTGAAGAGACTAAATTTGTGCTTCCAGGGGGTTCAGGAGGAAACCATGACAGTATATGTTCAAGTAAGATCTTTTGATTCCAACTGCTTAATCAGTTTATACTGAAAAATTAATTTTTGAAAGAAACAACACAGAAACAAATTAGCCAAGGCTTCTAGTCTGTGCCAAGTTGGTTCTTTTCGCCTAATAAGCAGTATGAAAGTCTTTACAGCTGTGTGGCACTGCTAGAATACTGCAATATTACCTAAGTGAAGAGGCAGAGCGCCTTTATTTCCCTAGACAGGTGCATGGGCAGGAGTCTATATGACTGTGACAGTAGTGCTGTTTCAGTAAAGCTGTCTCTCGAGAGCTTGGTTTCCACTGCACTGGAAATGGGCAAAAGAGCTTCCTGGCTTTAGAGCGTTAGCTGCTGTATCTGTTCTTTTTCTAAAGAGCAAGAATTCCTCCTGTTCTCCTGGCTTGGAAAGTTTTAAAGCTGAGGTGAGTGTAAAGCAGAACTTGGCTGCTTGGTTTTGAAGCGACTCTTGATGAATTTGTGTATTTCAAAATGCATCCTGGCACTAGTGGTAGAAGGAACCTCCTGGCTTCTCTCAGTTGTTCAGCTCTGGTTTAATGTGGGTGAGTGAGGCTGCTAATTTTTTTTTTTTTTTTTTTTTGTTGCCAACCATGGGCTACACGTTCTTTGTAACCTGATCATCTAGAATAAACACTCCACCCTAGGGCTCTTGGTAACCACCTGATGTTTGGAGACTGGCTGCTCTTGAATTGGAAGAACAACTGATAGCTGGAGTCTGTAGATTACTTCTCACCCAGCAAGAAACTGGGGTCTCTTGTACTGGGTTAAGGGCCTGTATCCGCTTGGTTCTGGGATGTAAGTTGGTGTGCACTGAGCACCTCTGGCTATAAACATGCCTCTTCTAAGACCCCTCCCCGCTCTTTCTTTGGGTGGTCACATTCTGCACTGCTTGTGGTTTGGTTTGAGCTAATGAGTTAAGTGGTGTGGATTTTGTTGAATAAAATGAACTATAGGTGTAATGTACCAGTCAAGGCCAACAGTTGCAATAAATCACATGCACATGCACTTACAGTCCTGCACCCTTCCGGAGCTCTAGCGGCGAACTGTCCTATCAGCCTGGAGCACAAGACCACTTAGTGGCACAGATTCAAATCTTACCTTCCTACCGACAGAACTCCTGCCAGGGAGCTGGTATCAAGTACCCCCTAACTTACAGTGCAAGACTGACAGCGTCTGCTGTTCTCTTCAGCCCCACTTGCACCCCTGGTCTGCCTGCATTTGCACAGCCTTTAAATAGTTGATGTGCTCTCTTCCTCTGCCACTGGGAGTGGTCGGAGGAAGGAAGCTGTGTGTTTGAGGCTGCCAGTGATGTTGGAATACCTGACTCCAGGAAAGTCAGTGGTTGTGTCCCTGTTTAAAAAGTTTGTATCGATACACTGATGCTTGATTTCAAAGCAATAGGCTCACGTTCTACCAGTGCTTCCTCGAGGCACTTCAGCTTGTGCGTGTGGGAAGCTAGTACCAAAGAGTGTACTTCACAAAGCTCTCTATGTGGCTGTAAATCAGAGAAGGGGGGAGGTAGGGAATCCTTCAGCTGCTACAGGAGGAGAGGGAACACCTGCAAAATATTATCTGAAAGCAGCTTGATTTCATGCTTGGTGACAACTACACTTGATGGAAAGACAGTACAGCTTGTCAAGAGAGTACAAATAAACTAAGACAAGATGCCTGAAAAGCGGTAACATATCTTGCTGTTAATGCTTTATGTGCACATTGGAAAATTATTGGTGAGGGCAGAGAAAGCAACTAAGTAAGAAGGATTCAAGTATGCAGTTAACTGTGTTCACTGTACTATTGTTTCCTATTTGTAATAGTTGTTTTCAGCCATGGAACAGGAGTAACTACTTAGTGCCTAACCAGTATCTGTTGCGTTCTATTATCTCTACAATTTATAGTCAACTTTTCTTTGCATTGGGAAGAGACAGAATAGCTGGAGCTGGTGTAACTCACCTCCACAGCTTATGGGCACTAGAACAAGGGAAGTGATGCAGGCAAGGAAAACTGTCCCTTCTGTGGGGGCAGCATCCACAGGACAACATCTTCAAGTTGTATCTTGTTTTCCTATGGATTCAAGAGATAATACCAGCAATGCTACTTTCCTGTAACTGATTGGTGTAAACTTAATAAATATCTAAGCAGTACTTGTACCTATGAGTTTCATAATGGGTCAGATGGAGTTGAGCCTTACAGCTCTACCTTGCATTCTGTGTACACAACTGGTGCTTTTGTGAGTCAAACCATGGACAGCCCTGTGCATAACAAGTGCCCTTAAAGATAAGGTAAAACACAGTACAATGTTAATGCGTTTTCTGTACTGAAGGAGAATAACTGCGTTGCTTATCCATGCCAACTGCCTAAAGCTCACTTCTACCTCAGCATGAAGATCACACTGAGCTGCTACACTCCTTAGGAGTGCAGGTGGGTTTGAGTCCTGGAGTGAAATAGGCGAGGAACCTACTTAAGTAAAACCATGTAATTTTTTAATAAAAAATTTATTTAAGAATACTCAGAATAGGGGAAATAAGTCCAACTATGAACAGATGCTTTTTCTGTCCCCTGCTTTAACACTGAAGGTAACATCTTGATTACACGAGTACAGGACAGAGGTGAACTAACTGGGAATGTTCAGTCTGTTTCTGTGCCAGCATCATCTTCCTCCTCTCCACTTTGAGACTGCTCTTCTGTAAGGGAACAGCTCAACAAGGACTTCTGTATACACCGTCTTTCCTCTGCAAAAAAGAGAGCAACAGAGGGTCATTATGTGATCTCAATGTATGTTGGAATATTCTCAACTTCTAAAGAAATGAACATTTCTCAGCTGAAGAATTCAGAAATAGCCCAGCAGATCCTCCAAACCCCCTGGGAACTGAGGCTGCAATTTAGTAAAGCGGCTAGAGGACCTCACCTTCATTTGTACAGTTTTGCAACAACATCAGCAGCTGTCTTCTGTTGTACTGAATCAGGAATTTCTGACATGTTCTTATGGTACCTGTAGGAGTCACAGAAGAACAGTATGTAACAATCGACAAAACTAGAGCTGCTACTATATTTTTGAAGATCATTGTATCGAGTGACAAGTGTCCCAGACAGTAACTTCATTAATGCAAGTGCTAAGAAGTGGCTGTAGACTTCACTTCTACACTGTTGAGGAGTAATAACTTATAACACGTAGTGCCTGTTATTTGCCCAAGTGGTTAATTTTCAGGACATAAACAATACTATAATTTTAAAAATATATTTTCAAAGAAAATAATGTAATATAGTATTTGCTGCTCTGCTTTTGTGTTAAATGTAATGAAGATTGAAGCAGAACTAATGAGGCTTTCAACAAAGAACTGCTGGTGCCCGTTTCTTATTTAGATCTGCTAGAAGCTGCTGAGTTAATGACAGGTAAGATGCATCTGTCGCACCCACAGCAGTAGGATGGGGTTCTTGCATTCTAGCAGGCCTGGAAGGTACGATGAAGCTTCCTCGGCCTCCCCCCAGGCGTTAGAGGCTCCCCCCAGCACCGGGGCAGCTGAAGCTGCC